GTTGCCACAGCTGTCAACGAACAGTGGTCTATTGGGCAGGTTGGGGCGTCTTGATAGATTGGTATGCATGGCTTTGACCGGGCAAACCGTTGAGTTGGTGGTTGTGAGCCGGACGGAGTGACCCTTGCCGAGTTGGTCGGTCTTGGACTTCTTGATTGTGACCTGTATTGCCTGCGGCGTGATGGAGAGGTCTTCTGTTCGGAGGCCACCGTCTGACATGGTCGTGGCGGTTGTGGAAGTGTACTCACTTGCCCGGAGACACGCAAAGAAGCCCAGGCAAATAGCTGCCCATACCATGGCTCGGTCGGTCGCGTTGAGGTTAGACCGTATCAGGGCCCTGCGCATAGCTGCCATGTGGGGCAGGAGGATTGGCTTACTGGCGTTTTTAGTTCGGTTGGCCTGTGCACGTGCCACTCCTTGAACTGCGAGGTCCACTCTTCGCGACGAGAGATCTTTGCCGTTTTCTTTGGCAATTGCCCGGATCGCCGACACATACAGGCGGACGGTTGACGCGGCATGTTGTCGCGCCAGGTAGGCTACAAACGCCAGCATGATGGTGTCTGTAATCACCTTGGTGCCGACTAGTTGGCAGAATTGGTGCAGTCGTTTCCAGGCTGTCGCGTTTGTGGCACGTGTGGACGCTGACAGGCCTAGCCACTGGTAGGCCTGACCCTCCAACATCAGAGGGAGTAGGTGCTCTCGGGCACCGGAGATGGCGTGTCTTCTGCTGTGGGTGCCAGTCGGCGAAATCGGGCCATCTGAAACCGAGACAGAGAGTCAGCAATCGCATTGTCAGTGCCGGGGATGTGGGAGACTATGACGTGAAAGTTGTGTCGGGCAGCAATGGCAAACAAAGTGCGTACCAGCGCCATTAAGTCGGGGCACTTTGTGCGTGAGCGGAGCCAGATGTCGCATACGCTACGGTTGTCGCAGTGGAAGCGGATGCGCTTCAGATGCAGCTGCGGTGCCCATGTGGATGCTGCGGCCACGATGGCAAAGAGCTCCATCCACGCGATGGATCTCTGGGATTGGTGCCTCTGCCACCGGTGTTGGAGCCACCGGCCGGCGAAGAAAGCACCATAGCCGATGGCTCTAGATGCGTCCGTGTAGAGGTCCATATCGGCGGCGGCTGACCACGTGGGTTCTAGGAAGAAGGCGACGCCATTCCAGGCAGGGAGGAAGTCAAGCCACCACTGGATGTCTGCTTTGGCGTCTTCTGTGATTCTGATGTAATCATTTGGATGCGGGACCGTCGTGCTGAGATCAATGAGGCGGCGCAGAAACATGCGGCCCGCAGGGACCGCCTTGCAGGCAAAGCTGAGGTGACCTATCAGGGACAACAATTCAGACTTGCGGGCGGTAGGGCGGGTATGTTGCCAAGCCTTGAGGGCAATGAGAAGGTCTTCTAACTTGTCGGATGGGAGGCGGATTTCGAAGCGCTCTGTGTCCAGCATGACACCGAGGAATGTCAGGGTTGTACTAGGGCCTTCCACCTTTTTTGGATTGACCGGGAAGCCTAAGTCGTGGCAGGCTACCAGGGCACGGTCAAGCTGGTGCTGTGCGCCGATAGAGCCCGTCGCTCCACCAAGGTAGTCGTCTAAGTAGTGGATGACTGGGGCTACGTCGAAGTTGTGCGACATGACCCACTGGAGGGCGTCTGCGACTTTGTTAAACAGCGACGGTGATGAGCGAAGGCCGAAGGGTAGGCATTTGTCCACGTAATATTGCCCGCGCCAGAACAGGCATAATAGTTCCCAGTCCTCTTTCCGTACTGGACAAATGCGAAATGCGTCTTGGAGGTCGACCTTCCACAGATGGCAGCCACGGCCGAGGGACCGTGCGAGATTTACGCCGTCGTCGACCGAACAGTACTGTACAGAGAATTTGTCGATAGGGATACCATCGTTCACTGAGTGGCCCTGTGGTGCTGACAGATGCATAATCAAGCGCCATGTTTGCACCGACCGTGACTTCTTGGGAACCACACCCAAACCGGAGACCTGTGTAAGTGTGAAGGGGGGCTCTTGGTAGGGACCGGCCATGCGACCTGCGGCAATTTCACGACCGATGGCAGCATCGACAATGTCAGGGTGCTCAATCGCTGATTTGAGATTACGAGAGACTCGGAAGGTACGGGGACCAGCAAACCCAACATCGAACCCGTAAGACAAAGAATGTATTACGAATGAGGCAAAAGCCGGATCAGGATGCTGACACAAAGCGTCATGCAGGTAAGAAACGTTAATGGGGGTTACAGGCGTGTGCAAATGGATTGGCTCGTGAGCGAGGGTGCGTGTAGGAGAGATGTGAGCAGCTGGGCAGAGTGTGTGAGTGCTATTGGCCTGGGTGAGTGTAGAGTTACCGGTGAGTGACTGGAGTGACCGAGTCTCCAAGCTGGGCAACTGCGAGCTATTGGTCGCGGCTGGCGGCGGCTGGCTTTGACGGTTGACGCAAATTGCAAAACAGTTGGATGCACGCAGCAGCACAGCTAGCAAGAGAAAGAGCCGTGGATGGGTTTGTTCCTGTTTTTGATGGCTGTGGCCATCCGTTGGCCCAGCGGTCTCGTGTGAGTACGGTGTTTGTTCGTGCTGCCAGCTCGCGCCCGGCATTTGTTTGCGCTGGCAGCTCGGGCCCGGTGCGCGAGTGAAACCGAACCGTGACAAAGGCTTTCGCTCTTTAGTGCTATTGACTGGCTTTTCATACGATGCCTATTGATGTCTAGAGACATGCTGTCTAGCCTTCCCCTAGTACGCATTCACGGGGCTTTGTTGAAGTTCGTGCCGTGAACTGCCAAAGGGAATTGTTTGAATGGTGCTGGGGCGAGTGCGACATTACGGCGTCCATGCAGCCGGCCTAATCGCGTTTGTCGCCACAACCGATTGTATGCAGTTTCAAATATTGCGGATGTTGCGTGCGGTAGAAATAGCAGTTATTACCTCTGTGTACTCCACCCGTTTAGTGCGCCACGGGACAACACAGTAACATAGGCAGTGGCTGGCAATGGCAAAGTAATCAGAAAACAGGCCAATGCAAATTGAGGGATATCTTTGGCCTGCGCCTGCTTTGTACGGACTCACTCCGTACCAACATGGAAGTTTTCTTGGTTATACACAAAGGCACATACTTTCTAACACTATTATGGCTGCTAGAAAGCGCAACTTTTGTCGTCAAGTTCTATTTAAAATCCTATCAAACACTCCTGACGATAGTGCTCTTCCGCTGCTCCCCAACACTCACATACAGAACAACAGTTCTTGAAGTTGTAAAGAAGGAGAGTTATGAAAGAATGCGTTGCAAGAACGACAATACATGTAGAACAAAGGCCATGCACCATCAATGCGCAGCGGCGCATGCAGAGGCGAAAAGGGGGCTCTGATTACACAGTGGTCAAGAAGACAGCACTTTTACTTTAGTTAAATCATCTTCCAATGAATATTGATTTTCTGCTTGTCTGTGGTGTGACCTTTTCAACCGTTTGTTTACTTCTGTATGATCATCTCGCTCTTCCCATCTTCTTTGACGGAACTGTTCCTATCTTGTCCTCAATTCGGATGTTCTTGATGGCAACTGCAGGGCGTAAGTTAATAATCATCAAAATGTCTTTAGCACAAACCAATACTGATCCCTTCTCGCTACTGTCTAATATAGTCGGTGTCGGCTGGGGTGTCTGTGGTGTGCTTGGGCAGCGCTTTTGCGCAAGCAATCTTACCTGTCTTGTCAAGTTAGTGATGGATGGTTTGTTTTGCACATAACCTGGAAAGCTGTGTTACTCTTTGGGCGTCTGGCTATAATCTTTATGTGTGCAGTTTGAAACATTGCGGATGTTTCGTGCATTAGAAATAGCAGTTATTACCTCTTTGTACTCCACCAGTTTAGTGCACCACGGGACAACGCTGTAACATAGCCAGTGGCTGGCAATGGCAAAGTAATCAGAAAACAAGCCAATGCAAAGTGAGGGATATCTTTGGCCTGCGCCTGCTTTGTACGGACTCACTTTGTACCAGCATGGAAGTTTTCTTGGTTATACACAAAGGCACATACTTTCTGTCACTTTTATGGCTGCTAGAAAGCGCAACTTTTGTCGTCAAGTTCTATTTAAAATCCTATCAAACACTCCTGACAATAGTGCTCTTCCGCTGCTCCCCAACACTCACATACAGAACAACAGTTCTTGTAGTTGTCAAGAAGGGGAGTTATGAAAGAATACGTTGCAAGAACAACAATACATGTAGAACAAAGGCCATGCACATCGATGCGCAGCGGCGCATGCAGAGGCGAAAGGGGGGCCTCTGATGACACATTGGTCAAGAAGACAGCACTTTTCCTTTAGTTTTAACTAAATAATCTTCGAATGAATATTGATGTCCTGCTTGTCTGTGGTGTGACCTTTTCAACCGTTTGTTTACTTCTGTATGATCATCTCGCTCTTCTCATCTCCTATGACGGATCTGTTCCTATCTTGTCCTCAATTCGGATGTTCTTGATGGCAACTGCAGTTCGTAAGTTAATAATCATCAAAAAGTCTTTAGCACAAACCAATACTGATCTCTTCTCGCTACTGTCTAATACAGTCGGTGTCGGCTGGGATGTCTGTGGTGTGCTTGGGCAGCGCTTTTGCACAAGCAATCTTTCCTGTCTGGTAAAGTTAGTGATGGATGGTTGGTTTTGCACATTACCTGGAAAGCTGTGTTACTCTTTGGGCGGCTGGCTCTAATCTTTATGTGTGCAGTTTCAAACATTGCTGATGTTGCGTGCGGTAGAAATAGCAGTTATTACTGTGATATCTGAGCAAGCGTTGTACAAACGCGTCATAAGTTGTTATCTTATTACTTACGTTTCCTGCATGCATATGCGCATGCCTGTTGTTTTGTTGTCTTGTCTTGCTCTGAACGAGTGATATACAAGTCTTGAGTTTTTCCCTATCTGACAAGTTTGTCTTGGTCGTGTGTAGTGCCTGGGTTGCATGTAACAATTTGGCGACGAAGACAACGTCCTGCGCGATGGAGGGAGATCGTGACCGTCTTCCACCATTCGACACGTCCGGACCCCCATCTCAAGTGGCTCTGAGGTGGACAAAATGGGTTCGAGCCTTTGACTATTATTTGACGGGAAAGGACATTACGAACAAGAAGCGTTCAAAAGCACTGCTCTTGCACTTCGCGGGTCTAGAAGTTCAGGATTTATTCGAGGACCTATCCGACCCAGATGACAGCCTTCCACCAGATCAGAGAACACAGAATGACAATGAGTTCCTCAAGTGCAAGCGTACCTTGCAAGCTCATTTCGGTGCTCCTGCAAACCCTACGTATGAGAGGCACGTCTTCCGTCAACTCACTCGCCGGCAGGGAGAGTCCACAGTGCAGTACTGCACCAAGCTTCGGCAGCAAGCTCGGCTTTGTTCTTTCGAGAATGAAGGACAAACTGCGGAAGCTATACGTGACCAGATCGTAGCCACAGTCGACAGCAGTGAGCTGAAGAAGAAGCTCCTGTCAGAACCAGCCCTGACTCTGCCACGAGCGTTGGAAATGTGCAGAATTTGGGAGGACGCCCAGTCCCAGTCGGAAGGAATGTCCTCAACCACTTCTACTTCGTCTGGTACCGGTTATACCGGGAGTAGTAGTATGCTTGTCAATGCCGTGCACCACCGAGACCAGAGTCACAGGCAAGCTGGACGGGGTGGATTTGTGCAGCCATCGCGTGGCCAGTCACGTAAATGCGGTGGATGTGGAGACCAGTGGCACGAGAAGCGCGAGTCATGCCCAGCTTGGGGCAAGTCGTGCCGGAAGTGTAGGAAGCCAAACCACTTCGCCAAAGTTTGCCGTTCACAGCAGTCCAGCACTGGTGGCAGTGTACACATGGTTGGCCAGTCTCAAGAAGTACATGGAACGTCGCCAGTCAACCCTGCTCCTGCTCCAAGTCATAGTGCAAGTGCTGGTACTGGTGCGAGTGTTGCATCCGGTCCTACAACTGCAAGTCCGTACAGCAGCGGCCTGGACGAGTACTATTCGTTGTACCGCACGCAGAGTGACAAGGACCGCGTGGACCCGTACTGTTGTACCCTCCAGTTATGTAAACAGCCAGTCGTGTTTGAACACACGGGTGCAGCCGTGACGGTGATGTCTGAAAACGAATTTCATCGGCTGGCATCCAAGGTCAATTTGTCGCTCGACACAAGTGATCTGCCGAAGCTGCGTACTTACTCCGGCGGAATTCTGAATGTCGTCGGTCGCTTTAGTGCTTCTGCGACCCATGCTTCTCGTAAATCAGCAGAATTGTCGATCGTCGTTGTCCAAGGAAACGGACCAAATCTCCTGGGTCGAGACGCGTTGCAACTGCTGAGGTTGAATTGGAACTTCGTGTTCAACGTGTCACGCGAGCACTCGATATTGTCAGAGTTCCCGCAGCTCTTCCAACGTAGCATGGGCACCTGGAAACATGGAAAAGTCAAATTGTCCGTGGCAGACAGCGCCAGACCCCGGTTCCTGAAGGCACGCTCTGTTCCTTATGCGTTACAAGCAGCAGTGGAAAAAGAGCTGAGTCGACTGGAGGAAGCTGGCATCATTAGTCCTGTCCAGTATTCGGAGTGGGCAGCTCCAATCGTACCCGTTCTCAAGCGGAACGGTAGCATACGAATCTGTGGCGATTATAAATGTACTATCAACCAGTCGGCAAGAGTAGACAAGTACCCCTTGCCCAACATCGACGACTTGTATCAGAAGTTATCGCAAGGCGCATTCTTCTCCAAGCTTGACCTGAAACATGCTTATCAACAACTGTTGCTCGACGACGAGTCTAAGCTGCTGACGACAATCAACACCTCCAAAGGATTGTTCGTCTACAACCGCCTACCCTTTGGCGTGTCGGCGGCCCCGGCAATATTTCAGCGCACGATGGAACAATTGTTAGCAGGTCTGTCCTTTGTCGTAGTGTATCTCGACGACATTGTTGTTTCTGGAAAGACTCGTGCGGAGCATGATGAGAATCTGAGGCTGGTCCTGGATCGTCTAGCGTCCGCGGGTCTCAGGTTGAATCGTGAGAAGTGTCTCGTGGCTCAGCAGTCTATTGAGTTCCTGGGCCATGTTATTGATTCAGTCGGCATTAGGCCGTCGGCTGAGAAAGTGGATGACCTTGTGAAGGCCCCACAGCCCAAGAATGTCCCTGAACTGAGAAGCTTTCTGGGACTCATAAACTATTACCACAAGTTCATCGAGAATCTAAGCTCAGTGTTAGCTCCATTGTATGAATTGTTATCATCAAAGTCGTGGTGTTGGTCTGATAGTCACCAGAAAGCGTTTGATACAGGCAAGTCTCTGCTGCTTTCTGAGCCGATACGTATTCATTATGATTAGGGGTGAAAGTTGGCGCTGAGATCCCGAGTTCGAGTACTCTGATTTTCTCCGATCGAATATTCGAGTATTCGAGTATTTTTCATCTCCTAAAAATTGAACACCAAGGGCATTAAAATAACATGATACAACCCTGATTGAACGGAGTAGCAGTCATTTTTCTCGGGTGTATTGGTTGGTGGGTCATTTGGGCTCTCTCTACTCGTGAACAAATGTTCACCACACAGCCTGCACATCACCATCTGCCGACTGCTGCCCTGAAACTGCAGATTTCTGTAGTAAATGCATGTACCATGTATGAACGAGTACTCTGATTTATTCCGAGTACGATTATTTTTGAAAAAAACGAGCGAGTACTCGAGTACTCGGTATAATTGTTTCACCCCTAATTATGATCCTAGTTTACGTATTGTCGTGTCCTGTGACGCTTCCCCGTATGGTGTTGGCGCAGTTCTGTCGCATGTTCTGCCAGATGGGTCTGATCGGCCAGTAGCCTTTGCATCTAGAACGCTGTCGTCTTGTGAGAAGAATTACTCGCAGCTTGACCGTGAGGCCTTGGCAATGGTATTTGGCGTCTCCAAGTTCCACAAGTACATCTTCGGTCGCAACTTTACACTACAAACAGATCATAAGCCACTGCTGGGATTGTTTGATCCTGCTAGACCCATTCCTGTTCAGTCTAGTGGTCGTATTCAGCGATGGGCACTCAAACTAGCCAATTATGAATTTGTTCTGGAGTACAAGCCTGGGAAACAGAACGGTTGCGCTGATGGGTTGAGTCGCCTCCCCAATCCGGCGCTGGTACCGGAACCGCCGCAGCCAGCCGAGGCTGTACTATCGCTATCCGTCTTGAACACTACACCGGTTACGTCTGCATCGGTTGCTCGCTGGACGAGCAAAGATCCGTCCCTGGCATTAGTATACAAGTTCGTGTCTGAGGGCTGGCCCCAAGACATTCCAGAGGGATTAGAGCCATATTCCCGTCGTCGCAGTGAGCTGTCTGTCTTGAATAACTGTATCCTAATTGGTTCCAGGGTAGTTATTCCTTCACCGGGTCGTGCACCATTGCTGGACGAGTTGCACGCCGGTCATCCCGGTATCGCTAGAATGAAAGCCCTGGCACGCAGCTATGTCTGGTGGCCGTCTCTCGATGCAGAAATCGAACAGACCGTCCGTGGTTGCACGCAGTGCCAGACCGTCACCAAGTCGCCGCATCGCCAGCAAGTCCACCCATGGGAATGGCCTGGTAAGCCTTGGTTACGTGTCCATGTCGACTTTGCTGGACCCATCGCTGGTAAGATGCTCTTCATTATTGTCGATAGTCATAGTAAATTTATTGAAGCACATGTTCGCTCTGGCTCATCTGCTGCTGTCGCAATTCGCAAGCTGGAGCAGACCTTTGCTCTGCTTGGCTTACCTTATAATATTGTTTCTGACAATGGCCCTGCTTTTGCAAGTAGTGAATTTCGTGAGTTTTGCTCATCTAATGGCATACGTCACACTCTCGTTTCACCATATCATCCGCCTAGTAATGGCTTAGCCGAGCGCGCAGTACAGACGGTGAAGTCTGGCTTGGCCAAGATGTCTGGCCCTGATTTGGAAACCCGCCTTGCCAGGTTCCTGTTCCAATACAGAATGACGCCGCAGTCAACAACAGGTCGTTCTCCGTTTGAGCTACTTTGGAAGGAACATCGTCCCCGCTCACGTCTGGATCTCGTGTTCCCGGACAGCGGCAAGAAAGTCTTGGACAAACAGTGCACTGCCCATGATCGTGGTGGTGCAAATGCATACCAGTTCTATTGTGGTGATGCCGTCTGGGCAATGAATTTCAACTCCTCACCGAAGTGGATAGCTGGCACCGTGGAAGAACAGCTTGGTCCTCTAACATTCACGGTTCGTCTTGTTGATAACAGAGTCTGGAAGCGTCACTCTGACCACCTGAAGAAACGCCTTCCTGCTGAGTCGGTGCAAGATGCTTCAACTGCTACGTCAGCACCACAGCTTCCATATTCCAGAGCTTTACCTTCTACCACAGCTCTACCGTCTTCAACTGCTCTACCTAGTGTTCCGCCGAATGAGTCTATGTCACTGCCTGGCTCAATTGTACATGATGAGATCCGTGAGAATGCTGATTTATCTGTTCCTGAATCTACTCCTAACCAGTCTAGTGGTTCTAGTCCTGTCGTGTCTATGCGCAGTTCTTCTCGTTCTGTAAAGGCTCCTGTCGGCCTTGATCTGTAGTTCGTCTTATCAGATTATTTGCTGCCACGACACAGTCTATGTATTTCTGTTATTCTGGTCGTTTCCATCTGATGGTGGAGGGATGTGATATCTGAGCAAGCGTTGTACAAACGCGTCATAAGTTGTTATCTTATTACTTACGTTTCCTGCATGCATATGCGCATGCCTGTTGTTTTGTTGTCTTGTCTTGCTCTGAACGAGTGATATACAAGTCTTGAGTTTTTCCCTATCTGACAAGTTTGTCTTGGTCTTGTGAAGTGCCTGGGTTGCATGTAACAATTACCTCTTTGTACTCCACCGGTTTAGTGCACCACGGGACAACACAGTAACATAGGCAGTGGCTGGCAATGGCAAAGTAATCAGAAAACTGGCCAATGCAAAGTGAAGGATATCTTTGGCCTGCGCCTGCTTTGTACGGACTCACTCCGTACCAACATGGAAGTTTTCTTGGTTATACACAAAGTCACATACTTTCTTACACTATTATGGCTGCTAGAAAGCGCAACTTTTGTCGTCAAGTTCTATTCGAAATCCTATCATTCCCTCCTGACGATAGTGCTCTTCCGCTGCTCCCCAACTCTCACATACAGAACAACAGTTCTTGTAGTTGTAAAGAAGGGGAGTTATGAAAGAATACGTTGCAAGAACGACAATACATGTAGAACAAAGGCCATGCACGGTCGATGCGCAGCGGCGCATGCAGAGGCGAAAAGGGGCCTCTGATGACACAGTGGTCAAGAAGACAGCACTTTTGCTTTAGTTAAATAATCTTCCAATGAATATTGATTTTCTGCTTGTCTGTGGTGTGACCTTTTCAACCGTTTGTTTACTTCTGTATGATCATCTCGCTCTTCCCATCTCCTATGATGGATCTGTTCCTATCTTGTCCTCAATTCGGATGTTCTTGATGGCAACTGCAGCGTGTAAGTTAATAATCATCAAAAAGTCTTTAGCACAAACCAATACTGATCCCTTCTCGCTACTGTCTAATACAGTCGGTGTCGGCTGGGATGTCTGTGGTGTGCTTGGGCAGCGCTTTTGCACAAGCAATCATTCCTGTCTTGTAAAGTTAGTGATGGATGGTTTGTTTTGCACATTACCTGGAAAGCTGTGTTACTCTTTGGGCGGTTGGCTCTAATCTTTATGTGTGCAGTTTCAAACATTGCTGATGTTGCGTGCGGTAGAAATAGCAGTTATTACCTCTTTGTACTCCACCGGTTTAGTGCACCACGGGACAACACAGTAACATAGCCAGTGGCTGGCAATGGCAAAGTAATCAGAAAACTGGCCAATGCAAAGTGAAGGATATCTTTGGCCTGCGCCTGCTTTGTACGGACTCACTCCGTACAAAAATAGAAGTTTTCTTGGTTATACACAAAGTCACATACTTTCTTACACTATTATGGCTGCTAGAAAGCGCAACTTTTGTCGTCAAGTTCTATTCGAAATCCTATCATTCCCTCCTGACGATAGTGCTCTTCCGCTGCTCCCCAACTCTCACATACAGAACAACAGTTCTTGTTAGGGCTCAAACGGTCACGGTTTTACCCCTGACGATTAACTGCTAAGCTAACGGTCGGTTAACCGGTTATAACCTATAAGCCACGGCAATCCTGCGGACTCTTTTTTAACCGTATATTTGACTATACTCATTCAAAAAATGTACCCTGTTCAGTACAACGCGCACTTGTGCATTCTCTTGCATGCTCCTTCATACATACTCTCACAGCAAGTGACCAGATATGACCGAGTTGACAGCCCAGAAATTGCGTACCCGTGCGACAGCCCGCGAAAGTGCACACTTTGCAACGACCTGATACTTGAAAAATTGACTGAAAAGTTACTGCGCAACCGTTATCTTTATCGGTTAACCGTTAATTCTTCGTAACCGGTCTGAAACCGGTTAATCGGACTAATCGTTTGAGCCCTAGTTCTTGTAGTTGTAAAGAAGGGGAGTTATAAAAGAATACGTTGCAAGAACGACAATACATGTAGAACAAAGGCCATGAACCATCAATGCGCAGCGGCGCATGCAGAGGCGAAAAGGGGCCTCTGATGACACAGTGGTCAAGAAGACAGCACTTTTACTTCAGTTAAATCATCTTCCAATGAATATTGATTTTCTGCTTGTCTGTGGTGTGACCTTTCAACCGTTTGTTTACTTCTGTATGATCATCTCGCTCTTCCCATCTCCTATGATGGATCTGTTCCTATCTTGTCCTCAATTCGGATGTTCTTGATGGCAACTGCAGACCGTAAGTTAATAATCATCAAAAAGTCTTTAGCACAAACAAATACTGATCCCTTCTCGCTACTGTCTAATAGAGTCGGTGTCGGCTGGGGTGTCTGTGGTGTGCTTGGGCAGCGCTTTTGCACAAGCAATCTTTCCTGTCTGGTAAAGTTAGTGATGGATGGTTTGTTTTGCACATTACCTGGAAAGCTGTGTTACTCTTTGGGCGGCTGGCTCTAATCTTTATGTGTGCAGTTTCAAACATTGCTGATGTTGCGTGCGGTAGAAATAGCAGTTTTTACCTCTTTGTAGTCCACCAGTTTAGTGCACCACGGGACAACACAGTAACATAGCCAGTGGCTGGCAATGGCAAAGTAATCAGAAAACTGGCCAATGCAAAGTGAAGGATATCTTTGGCCTGCGCCTGCTTTGTACGGACTCACTCCGTACAAAAATAGAAGTTTTCTTTGTTATACACAAAGTCACATACTTTCTTACACTATTATGGCTGCTAGAAAGCGCAACTTTTGTCGTCAAGTTCTATTCGAAATCCTATCATTCCCTCCTGACGATAGTGCTCTTCCGCTGCTCCCCAACTCTCACATACAGAACAACAGTTCTTGTAGTTGTAAAGAAGGGGAGTTATGAAAGAATACGTTGCAAGAACGACAATACATGTAGAACAAAGGCCATGAACCATCAATGCGCAGCGGCGCATGCAGAGGCGAAAAGGGGCCTCTGATGACACAGTGGTCAAGAAGACAGCACTTTTACTTTAGTTAAATCATCTTCCAATGAATATTGATTTTCTGCTTGTCTGTGGTGTGACCTTTCAACCGTTTGTTTACTTCTGTATGATCATCTCGCTCTTCCCATCTCCTATGATGGATCTGTTCCTATTTTGTCCTCAATTCGGATGTTCTTGATGGCAACTGCAGGGGGTAAGTTAATAATCATCAAAAAGTCTTTAGCACAAACAAATACTGATCTCTTCTCGCTACTGTCTAATAGAGTCGGTGTCGGCTGGGGTGTCTGTGGTGTGCTTGGGCAGCGCTTCTGCACAAGCAATCTTTCCTGTCTGGTAAAGTTAGTGATTAGTGCTGAAACGATTACCTTTTTTCCTTACTGGCTAAGCTGATACCATAACGATCGGCTTATCGGCTAAACGAATATTATTGTAACTACATCAGTACAATGTACATTCTGTGAATTTCAAAAAAATACGAGTCCAACATTGCCAACGATGGAAAGCGGGCGCATAGATCCGATGATCCCGCAACAAGTCCGTCAGCTGTTCGGACTGACCAGACGAATACAGACAAGACAGAGGCGACGCACTGGTTGCAACCCAAGAGCTGATGGTGCCCTTCGCCTGTGACTTCGCTGACTCCGACGATGAAGTCAGAGAAGCCGGCCAGGGGTGCAGATTGACAGATGAGCTGACTTGAGGCGCATCAACAAGTAACTAGTTGCTTTTCCTGTCTATGCTCAAAATAGGCCCCGACGCCAGGCCTAGCTCGTCGTCGAGCAAACTGGTTCGGGAACCGTCGACAGAACGGAAAACACGAAACTGAAGACCACTTTACTGTCTTTAGCTCAAGACTACTCGCATCTGGAGGGAACTCTACTGAGCCTGCCAGTCCTTCATGCTGCCTGTAAGAAAAGTAGTCAGCTGAAAAGACGGCGACGGTGATCGTGTCGATGTTTCTCAGATCGTGCTTGTACTTTTACACGTACATGTACATCGATGTTGCAAGTGTACAGTCATGTACATATTCGTATCGTACTCGCAACACTTTCGGTGCATGCACGCTTTGTGCGACCCCCAAAAGGGGGGAAATCCCGTACCGAGCGTAAGTACCATTCTACTCGTTTAGCCGATAAAATCGAAATAACCGTTCGATCTATTTCTTATCGAGTAAGTAACGAGTAATCGATATAATCGTTTCAGCACTATTAGTGATGGATGGTTTGTTTTGCACATTACCTGGAAAGCTGTGTTACTCTTTGGGCGGCTGGCTCTAATCTTTATGTGTGCAGTTTCAAACATTGCTGATGTTGCGTGCGGTAGAAATAGCAGTTTTTACCTTTTTGTAGTCCACCAGTTTAGTGCACCACGGGACAACACAGTAACATAGCCAGTGGCTGGCAATGGCAAAGTAATCAGAAAACTGGCCAATGCAAAGTGAAGGATATCTTTGGCCTGCGCCTGCTTTGTACGGACTCACTCCGTACAAAAATAGAAGTTTTCTTGGTTATACACAAAGTCACATACTTTCTTACACTATTATGGCTGCTAGAAAGCGCAACTTTTGTCGTCAAGTTCTATTCGAAATCCTATCATTCCCTCCTGACGATAGTGGTCTTCCGCTGCTCCCCAACTCTCACATACAGAACAACAGTTCTTGTAGTTGTAAAGAAGGGGAGTTATGAAAGAATACGTTGCAAGAACGACAATACATGTAGAACAAAGGCCATGCACCATCAATGCGCAGCGGCGCATGCAGAGGCGAAAAGGGGGCTCTGATTACACAGTGGTCAAGAAGACAGCACTTTTACTTTAGTTAAATCATCTTCCAATGAATATTGATTTTCTGCTTGTCCATGGTGTGACCTTTTCAACCGTTTGTTTACTTCTGTATGATCATCTCGCTCTTCCCATCTCCTATGATGGATCTGTTCCTATCTTGTCCTCAATTCGGATGTTCTTGATGGCAACTGCAGCGGGTAAGTTAATAATCATCAAAAAGTCTTTAGCACAAACCAATAC